ATCACAATTTTTAATCACTGATTGCAATTGGGATGTTTAGAATTTTTATATCTTCTTCATTCAACTTTGCTAATTCATATGTATCTAGAAATCTGTCCATTTCTTCTGTGTTTTCCATCTTATTAGAGTACTGGTTCTCAAAGTAGGTATTGATGATCATCTTGATTTCTGCTGGATCTGTTGTGACTTCACCTGGTTTTATTTAGTTTTTTTTTTTTAAGGTCACCGAAGCTATTTTTATTTCCAGTGTTTAATTGGGTATGCACGCAGGCATGACACAGGTTTGGATTCATTAAGTCCTCATGCAGAAAGAAGCCAGTTCCATCCAGGGTCCACTATCTACACATCTATGTTACAGCATTTATATCAAATCTGGTTTTCTGTGGGTTTTTTTAAAGAAATCATCTGGTTTTATTAGGGGTTTTTTTTTTTTGGAAGTAAAATCTTTATTACATCAGTGCATGCCACCCCCTCCTGTCATATCTGGCAGGGCCAGCTGGATCCCTGGCACTGTCTGAGGCTGTGGAGTGTGGGGGGGTGCTCAATGAGCCTTCTACACCTGTTCCAGCTGCAGCCAACTCAGCCCAATCAGGTCAACAATGCCTGCCACAGCATCTGCTTCTTCTGGGATGTGAGGTGGGTGGGAAAATGGATGTCGAAGAAGATAAGAGGTCCCCCTTTTTGGTGGAGTCCTCAGACAATGGCATCCCCTCACCTGGCACCTTCCTGAAGTACTTGGGATGGACGATGTCATTGATGGGAATGTTAAGCAGACGGTCATCTCGGGTCTTCACCTCAACGGTGCAGCAGGTGAGAGCCTTGCCCAAGGGAATGGGGTTCACAAAGAAGAGGTTATCTTTCTCCCTGCAGAATGGAGGGTGCAGCTTCCTCTTTACAATGAAGATGATGTCAGCTGGGATGATGTTGGGGCCCTGGTCTCCTTCCTTCTCAAAGGTGATGCATGTGCCCTGTCTCCACCCAGGCAGCACATCAATTGTCAGAATCTTGTCCTTGATGGTAGAAGAATACTCATCCTCATTTAGCACACTTTGAGAGATCTTAATTATTTTTGGTGCAGGCAAAGAATAAGTCCTCCAGGAATATGTAGAGGTCCCATTCAGTTGAAGGGTCCTGCTTCTTGACCCCTTCACCCCTGAGTCTCCCAAGATTCAAATCAACATCACTTTCTCCTGCTTCAAAAAATTCACTGAAAGGATTGTCTCCCCTGAAGAACTCATGGAAAACCTTGTCAGGGTTGCCATGGAAGATGTAGCCAGTTGTCCATGGTGTCTGGGCTCCAAACTCCAGAGGAATTCCATCCTTTAGACCCTCCTCTCCAAACTTGTCATAGATGCCTCTCTTCACAGGATTGCTCAGCAAATTGGAAAAGGTACATTTTAGGTATACATTATGATCACATTCATTATTGGAAATTTGTACCTGTATATGATAACATGATATATCTTGTTTTTTATTTTCCCCATTCCCCTTCTCTCCCTTCAACCCCTCCATCCCTCCCCATTTACATAAGCTTTGTTTCCATTTTTTCCTTCTTTTTCATTTTTTTCTCTTCTTCCCCCCCCCCACCCTAGTTCCCTTTCCCCTTTGAACATTTTCTTCCTATTTCACAATATCGATTACACATTTTGGTCCTCATTTATACTTTCAGTTTCTCATAGCAGAGAAACAATTTGGTATTTACACATGTGTGTTCCATGTATTTCACTTAAGAGTATGGCCTCAAGGTACATCCATTCAGCTATGAATGTCTCTAGCTTATCTTTATTGTTGAGTAGTATTCCATTTTATAAAAAAAAAAAACCACGTCTTCTTTATCCAATCAGTGGATGGACATAATCCAGGAGTTTTAAAAGATTTTTGATTGAAATAATTCAGCCTTTGAAACCATTCACGAAATTGGAAAAAACAAGCTCATTGTCCTGGTCTTAGGCTAGGACTTCCAATTATCAGGAATATCTGTTTAAAACTCAAATAAATCTAATAGGTCACAGGACCTGAAAGAAGAAAATATATACACAAAGTAGCAGAGTAAGTAATGACAATGTTAAGACAAATGGCAACAGGAAGTGTGACTCCATCTATTTGCACAATAGCACAGCGTCCAGTGTAGGGAGAAGACCTACTGTACAAGGGTGGTTTCAGAGATTAAGATGAAAAGGGAAACTTTCAGGACACCGAAGGAACTGAAATAACTACAATTTTCCTTCAGGCTGGCCCCACAGGACCACCTTTAGATTTAAGGACTCATATCTCCAGCCACAGGAATTATACATCTGAGGCTCATGTCCTAATGTAAAACTTTAAGAGGAAACCAGAAAAAGAGCTAAGACAGAGGAACATCATCACTGGCTGAATCCAAGAAGCAGCAACATACATACATACATACATACATGCATACATACATATGACTTCCAATATGCAGGAAACTAAATCGGACATACTTTTTCTATAACATCACTCACACATACATATATAAGTTGCAACATTCCCTGTCCTTTTACTTTGGAAACAACCCCATGACAGAGAAAATCATGACAGAAAGGTGAATCATGCTTTTTAAAATGAAGTGAAAGGCAAAAGAAAGTAGGTGGGAAAGCTTGATACCGAGCAATAAATATAAGACATACAGGTATGAGAGGGATGAGAGACAGAGACAGAGAGGGAGAGAGAGAGAAAGAAAGAGAAAGAAACATAAGGAGTGGAGATGGTGCAAAGATAAACCTTAAGATTTCTCAGACTGGCAGGAAGATGAGAATGTCTACCAGAGTCAAAGAGAAAATAACCCAGGAAGTAGGTGAAAATTCCAGAGATTAGCTCAGCAAGGAAGCCCATGGAGGAAAGTGTTTTTAGTAAGCAAAGTAGGCACTACTCATTTCAAAAGCTTCTGAGAAACTGAAAGTATAAATAAGAATCAAAATGTATAATAGATAATCTGAAATAGGAAGAAAAGGTCTAAAGGGGAGGAAGAAGTGGGAGGAGTAGGGGAAAGGAAAGAAGGGAAAGGAAAAAGTATGAGGAAAGGAAGAAATGGAAACAAAGTCTTTGTAAATAGGGAGGGATGGAGGGGTTGAAGGGAGACCAGGGGAAGGGGGAAAAAATAAGAACCAAGATATATCATGTAAAGGTACAAATTCCCAATGATGATTGTCACCATACTGTGTACCTAAAATGTACTGATAAACTTTTTTTAAAAAGTTTCTGAGACAACAGCTATTATGAGAAGAAAATTTCTCTTATTTCCAAAATACAGATCATTGATACACTTTTGAAGGCATTGTTAGGAGAGAAATTAGGCCAGAAATTCTTCTAACAAGTTATGCCCTAATAGAATTGAGTGCATATGTTCACCAAAGGATGCGTAAAATGATATTAACTAGACTGTGATTATAGCCAAAGTCTAGAGAAGTACAAATGACCTTTTAGATAGATGATTACTTACATTCACAGTGATACAAACATGAAGCTTTGGATGAGCACAAGATTTATAGTTAGAGATGCAGCCAAGGTCAGAACCACCCCATCTGAGTAGCAGGGGACAAGAAAGAGGCACTTAACCTTTCCCTCTTCCCACCCACAGATCTCTTGCCAGTTTCTCCATGCACGGCTAAATTCAGTAAAATGCCAAAAACTAAAGGGATCCTGGGTAATTCAGTTCATATGGTTGAACTATTACTGTACAGAATAGAAAAGATTGGGAAATATGAGTTTGGGTAAAAGGGTAAAATCAAAAATAACCCAAAAAGGAGCCAATGAGGGGCTCAACCCTAGTTTTCTTGCTCCCATCTCAGTGAACGCCTCAACCCACAGAGCAGCTGAAGTCATGAAGGCAATGAATGATAAGAACGCAAGAGAAACATCCATGTTTTCTTATAAGAACAGAGTTTTTTCTGGGGTCAAAAATTTGACCAAGTTTCAAGTGAAAGATAATAATTTGTTTATCCAATGCTGTTATAATTCAGTTTCAGAAACATGAGATTAGACATTCCATTTGCCTTCCTAGTCAGTAAGAGACAGTTTGTGTCTTGCCAGCTCTTTATACACACAGGCCAACATGAGTCTTTGCATTCAGATATTACTTCCTTTACAGAGAAATAGATAAGAATATTGATGTATTTTAATTTAAACTAATATTTGCTTAAAGAAATTATGCCATCACAATTTTGGCCTCTTTTCTACTATTTGAGATGAATTACCAGAGAACTAAAGCCCAACCTCAGGTGAGCACCTATACCATATGATTGGGACCATAAGGTTAGGGTGATGGCAGAGGAAACTGGGTATAAAGAGGGAGGGCTCTCTGGACACAATCTTTGCTAACCAGGCTGCCTCCCATCTCTTGTGTAATGAGGGCCAGGCAGGGAGTTGCTCCAATTGCTTGATCTTGAGGGTCCTCCCACAGCCATGTCTCCCGAGCAGCTTCATGAACCAAAGCATAGGTGGGGAGTTACGTTGAATATTTTGCAACAGGGACCAAGGAGAGGCAGAGCCTAACTTAGTTGTGGAGACTGAAACAGGATAATGAAAACAGATTTGATGTCCTCTGCCTGGTTTTCAAATGTTTGCATGAAGAACCTAATATCCCAGGAGATTTTAAATAGCAGCTAAATAGGTGAGATACATTGGTAGAGAAAAATAACATTTCTGTGTTTTCAGAAAAAGTCAGCAATAAAAAAAATAAAGAAAATGTCAGCATTGAGAGTGTCTTGAGTCTGAAAAAGAAAGAAACCTTTCAGGCTAAGCACTGGTACTTCTGGAGTGCAAAACTATTCTCTTTAATTTTACATCCACCCCCCTCCTACATTAGCGTGACCCACGACCTCTGAGGGTTCTAGGAATTTGACCTACACTGGCTCATGTTCTTGGGGAAACTGATTGAACCTTGCTTAGGTAAAGAAGGAAACAAGCGTCCCCTGTCAGGGCTGCTCCCCTCAGCCTCCTCCGTCCTCTGAGTTCTTGCTCAGGTCCCGCTGCAGCTCCCCTCACTGTGTCCCCAGGGCACAGTAGTACACAGCAGAGTCTGCCAGCTGGAGTGAGGGTTTCTGCAGGTGGAAGGAGCTGTGGCTCTTGACAAGAGTGGCCTCAAAACCTTGGTTCTCTGTCCGCTGATTTTCTGTAGTGCTCTTCAGGAGGAGCTGAGGAGCTGTGTTGAAATACTGGACATACCAGAAAAGAAATGAAGCTGAATAAGTAGTCTGGTACGTGCAGTTCAGGATCAGAGGGGCCCACTCTGAGAGAATAACCGGGCCTTCTGTCTGGGTCACTGAGTCTCCATGGCTCCATCCTAAAAAGAGAAAAATATATTGTTATATAGGGAAGAAAGCTACAGTTGTCATGATTGTAGGGAATGGAAATATCATTAGCGCTTAGGAAAAAAAATGTTACTTACTGGGCATTAAGAGTATCACAAGGGGAGAGCAGATGATAGAAAGCATGTTAATAGAAGGAAATAATCCTTGATATTTGTGATATAGCCCAAGTGAGATCATATAAAAACACCGCACTAAAAGAAACAAGAGCTCTCTTCTGCACAGCAGCAGTCCATCTGGTTACTATAAATGTAATAGACCTGTTGAACCAACACCCACCCATCTGCAAATGTGAACCACACTTGGAGAAGTAGTGCCATCTGATGGTTGTTCTGAAAATTGCAGTCTAGCCTTGTCAGACCCTGTTTTAAGTACGTGATGCCATTGTTCTCCCTCTCCCTTACGCACAGAAGATCTGTTCCAAGACTCCCCATGGATGCCTGAAATCACATATAGCACTAGAGGCTGAATATTCTACTTTTCCCCATATATACATACATATCCATAATAACGTTTGTTTATAAAGTAGGCATAATGCTTTCTGGTACAGCATATTGCCATCAACCGAAACATGTTTTCAATTCATGTCTTTTACCTACAAATATTTTCTATCTTAATCAAGCACTTATCATACACTGCGGCTGTAACTTTTCCAGTTTCAGGTGTGGTAGCAAAACTGACTGAAAAAAGGACTGAGGTGTGGGTCATTGTGTACCATGAAAATGCTAGACGTAGGAATGATTCTCACCATGAAAGAACAGAACACAGCCATGCAAGATTTCATCACACTGCTTAAATGGCATATATTTGAAACTTATAAATTTTTTGTATCAGAAATTTTCTATTTAAAATTTTCAGATGACAGTTGACAACATGTAACTAAAAACAAAGAAAAATTAAATAACAGGCTCTATTGCAAAATGGCCTGTGAGAAAAGTAGATAAAGAAGAATAAATAGCCCTCTAAGAAGAAACCACTGCACATTTGCTTTATACAATCACAACTATACTTGGACAATATTCAATTACTACTACTTGCAGTGTATTCTCATGTTACAAAGATCTTCCCCAAATAATCCCAGGTGCAACTGTTAAGTGGACTAGTTTGAGGCTCTTTACTTTCATATGTCCCTTGATTCCTATGGGTAAAGAAGGATCTCTCTGCCTAGAAAGTCCTCTCTCCTTCCCACCAGTTCATCCCTTAATTATTCCTGTTCATTCCCGAGTCCCAGTCAGATGCCATCTCCATCATCCAATGCAGTGCTTTCCAGACAAGCTGCAGTGAAGGACCAGTGTCTTCTCATGGACTGCTGCATTTGTGAAATACAATAAAATAAATTCCTATGACTATAGGAATTGACCTGCAAGTGCACTTTTAATCTTTGGCTGATTTGCACATGTGGAGAAAACTCTGAGGGGAAAAAGAGAGCAATAAGCCAAATAATTCCAGAGCTCACACAGTGCTAGGCATAGTGTTTATTCACAGCAACCAAGATTCAACAGACATTCCAATACATGAGGCAGACACCAGAATCCTCCAAAGGGTGATACAGTAGTAATGGGCTAACAAAGTCCTAGGATGAAGGGTGTTAGGTAAAAATTGAACAGGTTTCTAAACAAACCAGAAGGAGCCTTGGAGGGGTGGAACACAAACAAGACAGCCTACTTTCTGGACACTAAAGGCCTGGCAGCAACTACTTGCATCCATCCATTCATGTTCACCTTACCAAAAACTGTACAGAAACCCCTGGACTTGAACATCTGTGGTTTTTCTGCCTTTTGGAATTCCCCTCCCCAACAATTGCGCTTGGCCATCCCCCCTCCAAAAGAAGTCTCCATCCAATGATATAACATTTGCATATGTAGCATCATCAGAATTGTTAGACGTGAGCAAGCAGGAAAATATCATTTATATCCAGGAGGAAAAAAATCAGTAGAACGAGATCAAGAAATGTCACAGATGATAGAATTATCATTATAAAAGGAAATAATTATTATAAATCATTTAAATTATACATAATGCAAATATATTAAATGATTAAAGAGCTATAGGATCATAAAAAGTAGAAAAATGGAAGGCATACATAAGGGTCAAATGGAAATTCTAGAGATGAAAAATAAATTAAGATTAGCATCAGATGAGAAAACACAAGAAAAATCTCAGAAGACTTGAAGAACAATAAAAATTGTTCAAACTGAAGAAAAGATAAAATAAGTTGAAAAAGGAACAGTTTGTGAGCTATGGAACAAAATCAAGTGATCTTATATGCATATAACTGAAACTTCAGAAGAACGCAAAGGGGAAAGGGAAAGTATTTAAAGAAATAAGGGGTGAAAATCGCAAGACTTAATTATAAACCTACAACACAAGAGAAAAGAAATAAAATGATATTTATTCCAAGCCTCATTGTAATTGCCTCAGTCCACTTTGTGTTGTTATGTCAAAGTACCTGAGGTGAAGTACTTTATAAGGAAAACATGCTTATTTGGCCCATCATTTAGGAGGCTGGAAAGTCCACACAGCATGGTCCTGGCCCCTGGCTGCAACACAACAGGGCAGCACTGGACAGTAACACATGTGAGAGCAAACAGTGAGGCAGGAAAGAGATCACTTGCAGAGGAGAACCAAAGGCACTGACGGCCATCTCACAGTAAGACATCTAGTCCACGAGGTACAGCTCACTCCAGAAGAGCGACTCCAGTTTGATTCAGTCTTGAGAGAACAAAGCCAGTCTCCCAAGTAAAACATTAATCCAGGTATGGCACAGGACAGGGATGACCTGTCCTCTAAAAGGCTCCACTTCCCACCAATACCGTATTGTAGATGAAGCCTCCATATGAGTTTTAGTGGGGACAAAAGTAGTCAGTCCATATCAGTCATTAAGTTTCTGCAACCCAGTAATAAAAATAAATGGTAAAAACAGGTAGGTGGGGAATGAGGATGGGAAAGGATATGCCACATACAAGGGATCGAAGGACAACTTTTCATCAGAAAAAATTCATGTCAGAACACAACTCAAGGGCTGAGAGAAAATTGTCTAAAGTAAAAAACTATAAAGCAACATTCTTGGGTTTTTAACATATGCAGAGTAAAATTGAAAGAAACAACAATAGCACAAAAGAAGGAGGAGTGGCCTTAGTTTCCTGCACTATATCTGAAGTAGTAAAACACTAAAGTTGGATAACTGTTCTGTGAACAGTTCTCAACTTTGTGGCTGTCAGGATTCCTGAATAGCCTTACAAAGAGACTCCAAGAAGACTTTAGAAAGGTTCTGTTTATGTGGCAAGAGATGGAGATGCATTCATTAACCATCAGAGGAACGCTGTTATCACACATCAGGTGGACCCTGGAAAACTTGCACATACAACTGTAATAGTATGACAGTGCCAAAAGCAAATACCATTTTAATCCCATTATACAAAGAGTCTCAGCATGTCACACTCCCTGCGAGGGTCTCCCTAGGGGTCCCTGCACCACACTTAAAAGTCAGAAGCCTCACTCAGCCTCCTGGCGGTTAGGTAACCTAATTTGGGTAACTTGGTGCTTGAAATGCTATCCTTTCACTTTCTGTCATGTCCTTATTTTAATTGAAGTAAGTATTTTCTTTTGAAATCCACGGTGTAGATGTTTAATATCACTAGCCAGGTTCTCTCTTCCAAGGGCATCCTCTGGTGTTCAGCTGTCTCCTACTTATTCACTTTATTAAGGATTTCAAGAATCCCAATTAAAGGGGCAGTTTATTCTATGTATGTTTGCCTGTTTGTCTAGTTCCTTTGTTACTATTGGTGATAATGAAACAAGCCCAGCAGAAGATGTAAATGGGTCATTTTCATGGCTCATTGCTTCTCTATGACTGGATTTACTTAATGCACAGGGTGTTGTGATATATTAAGAAGGCAGAGTATAGTTCTGTCCTAACAAACCATTTTAATGCCCTGGACTTTGTAACTGCAGACAGCTACAGTATTTTCTTACACAGTTCAGAGAATCAGTGCTATTCATACATTTTTTAAAAAACTGACTGTGATTAAAAGCCCTTGAACACAAGAACAATCTTCAGATGATATTCATCATACATTCATATTTTCATTTAAAATTATCATAGACTGTTTACCTCTTATGGAGCTTACAGTCTAGAATAAAATTACCATGCTGACAAGATTCTGTGCTTGGCAGACTACACAGCTGCACTTACTGAGGTGCATGCTCAGGAATCCCCAGACTTAGGCATTCATCCAGAAACTTATAAAGTTTTCTATGATTGTAAAACTCTATTAAAAATACACAAACAAAAACTAATCACTTCCAATTGAGTGAGGATCCAATAAATAAATCCTATTTTACAACTGTGCACCTGCCAGCCTGGGCCCAGGCGTGTGGAAGGAGGGACCAGGTGCAAAAGAGTTAATGAGTTTTTCCAGACATGGGTAAAGCCTATTGGAACATCTTGCTCCCAGTGTTTAGGGTTTTTTGGTCCATCCATCTCCCTGTCCTTCTCTTAGTCCCAGCCTCTGGGTGTTTGACCTCCACGCTTAGGCCTCTGACACACAGTGAGCAGCAGTGGACAGAGTGAGGGTCAGAGGCCTGAGTTACCCGCCAGCAGGGAAGGCCTGAGATCTCCTTACTGCCCTCCCAGCCTCTCAACTCTATCACATGAGTTTTCTGAATGGCTTTCAGAAATAGCTTGCATTGTCTTATATTGTACTTTTATTTGAATAAAGAGAATTAGTTTCATATTAATATATTTTAACTTTATTAAATATTTTCAAAATCAAAAAGTTATCCACTTTGCTTGCAGGTTTAATTATTTGAGGAGTAGTGTCCAGATCAATTTGAAATCTTTTTAATTGTGATGAAATAGTGATATTTGCAGTCTATTGCCACTGCCTCTGCCAGCCTCCTTTGAGCCTTTTCGCCATTTTATCCTCCAAAAAAGAGGAAAAGTTAAGTCTTCCCTGGCCTTAAAAGGACTCACCCATTTTCCTCCTGTGTACTCCCCAAAGCCAGATATTTTGGAGACCAAATGATATGTTTCTTTTAACAATTCAGCTTTTGTTACAGAAGTCCCATAACACAGAAACAGTGTACTTTTGTTAGTCCTTGAGCTGAACAGAGAAATTATTCAAATAAAATTTCTCAATCCCACAGAGCATCTCAAGTGCCTTGTCTTTGTTGAGAGAGATATAAATGTGTAAGCACACTTCACGAAACATAGAATTTTCGGGATAATGAGACATAAACTCATATGCAGGTAATTTGCTATTGGGAACTCAGATGATAGGAATGGGACCCACTCTTGGGTGAGATGGCTCGTTCAAGTCACTTCTGTTCTCTGAACAACAGTTTCTTATTCATAAATTAAGATAAATTCCATGTACCTTGGCATGTTAACAAAGGTATTATGAGGAGCAAATGAAATGTTGCTTATGAAAGCACTAGGCCTAAGCACAGAGCTTGGTGAATTTTCACAAAGTGAACTCGCCCACAAAGCTAGCTCCCAGGTAGGGAAAGGGACCATTTCCAACATCCCAGGAGCCCATCTTGTCCTAACATCAGCCACCATCTCTCCATGAAAAAAACACTGTTCTCATTTTAGTTTTTTCTGTTATCTTTCACTCAGTAAGTTTTGTGAAATTTGTTCCAGGTAGAGTTCATTCTCATTCCTACGTTTAACTTCATTATCATAATATATATCCTGATGGACATCTGGGTTGTTTGCCATTTTTAGGCATTATAATTTCTGAGGCAATAAAATTTTCATTCTTCAAGTTTTTAACCTATAGACGTTTCCACACTATACATTTTGCTTAAGATATGTTTATGATATATTTACTATATTTTTCTGCTCTTTATATTTGCTGTGTACATGTTTGGCACTATAGTTATAGTACTTATTCTGAAGGACATCTGTCTCTGATTGGAAATTTTCCTCTTTTTCAAATAAAAAGAAGCTTTATTTATAAAATTAGGTAGTAAGATGCTAAAAGGTGAAATTTGGGGTGAGCTGAGCACCATACTGTTGACCCCGAGTCACAGTTTCTGGAATAAATGGGAATGAATGTAAGTGGTGGACAGTTTGTATTAAGGCAAAGCCAAAGGCAAATGCTACAGGTAGAAAAGTAAACAATGATAGAGTAACTTTTGGAGCTTCTTTGGATCACATGCAACATGTGCTACATATGTGCTTTCATCTTTTCTTTTATCAAAGGAAATGCTTATGAGTGTGGATCAAGTCCCAAATAGGATTTATGGACAAAGTGATTCAGGATATCAGACAATTTATAGACAGACAGAAGATTTACTCACATTTTTTATTGTTATTACTTTCCTTTATTTGACTTTCATGTCCACATCTAACCCAAGATTTTGTAAAAACACTGCAGTGGAGGTATGCTTCAGAAGATGTGGGTCATACAGTGATTAACTTCAGGGGGCATTTTAAGAGATGGAAGGGACATTAGGAAGTACCAAGGGCTGGAGCCTCATGGTCATTGTCATTTACCCTATTTACAGGGGATGGACCAGGCCCCAGCTATCCTGTACGTTGTGACAGCTTCATCTTCCAACCCAGATGCCTCTGTATTATATCGCCCGTGTGCTGGCCTATCCACCCGGGAAAAGCTAGCAGTGTAACTCAGATGGGACTCCCATGGGACACAGATGGGAGCCAGTGCCAGCTGATACACCATCAGGTCTGTCCTTTCTGTAAACACTGCTCATTCTGCTCTCAACACCTGTCAGCCTTTGCCTTTGCAGCCCAGCTCTGGGTGGGGCTCTGATGTTAAAGGGGTCCCACATAGCTATAGTGTTCTCAGTTCCCTAGAGACAAGGAACTGTCTTCACTTTTCCAGGTACATTTAGCTTCCTATGACTGCAAAATCTATCTCTTCACCTGCCTATCACATACAAGAGAAGCTGTCATCTGGAGGTCCAGCTAGCTGGCAAATTTCAGTGACTTAGGTCTGTCAAATGATCATCTCCATTTTCTGATTCTCCCAAGCTGAGGAAAGAAAGAATGTCTAATGTCTTGTGAAAGAAACTGTAATCTCATATTCCAATAGGAACAATTCTAGTGCAAGGACCAGAGTTCGATCCCCGGTACCAAAAAAAGAAACAATTTTACTTACGAGCTAATAGCTATTCTCCTTCTCCCTCCTTGCTTCTCCTTTCCTCCTTCTTCCCTTACCTTCCTCCCATCTCCTCCTTCCCCTTACGTAATTCTCCTCTTCCTTTTCCCCTCTCTCTCCTCTCCCTCTCCTGCCTAGCAACATAGAGCAGCAGCTCCTGTGTGTTGAAAGTGGGTGATTTCCCAGGTCACACTCCTCTCTGCCTGCCCCATTGGCTCCTTGGATAGTTCTACTACGACTACTTGGCCTTTTTCAATACAGTGGGTAGCTAATAACTTAGAAATTAAAAAGACAGTGAAATTAGTGCTTTTGTGAGGCTACTAACATTTTGGAAAGAACTATTCAAGAGCAACTGCCTAAATCATCTGCATTTTAACAAATGAGAAAACAGAGAAATCAGCAACTTTCTTAGAGTCACAGAGCTTGTTTAGATCATGAACTCTGGAACTTCAGATGAGTGCTTTTGTTGCTGACTCTTCTGTACTAGAGATCACTACGGCCCACTCAACATGACATCCATAAAGGCAGGAACCCTAGCTGTCTTGTTAACTAATGCTTTCCCAGCACTTACCACAGAAGCCAATTGTCTCCTGGATTGAAGAATAAACTACATTGTAGTTCCCCAAACTGGATTCACACTGTGATACACAAAATCATGTGGGAAAAACAAGCGTGGTTTCATGAAGCATTAATTTAGATTTGTCATATGAGTACCTTTATATATTATAACTAATAATTTAACATTTTACTTTTAGATTAATTCATTTTATGAAATTAATGATGTTTGCATAAATTTTAAATATGAAATGAATTTATAATCAAAGTCACTACACATTCAAACAGTAGTTTTAACCTCTGCTCCAGGGGATCTAGTATTCTCAGGCATTTTCATTTTTACAGGTAAAGTAGAAGTCCAGTTTTTCAAGTGTGTTGATTTTTTTAAATGTGTGTGGTACAAAGAAATAAAAATCTTTGTTCCTGAACACTGGTTATAACATCTGAAAAAAAATACATGTTTAGACAGGAAGTAGACACTGGAGGAGATCCTCTGACTGTTGGTTGCCATGGAAGCTGTCATTCTGCCTTGATCCCTTCTCGGCGTCAAACTAGTCAGAACTTGAAGGGAAAGGTGGAAAGCAAGACACTCAATAGATCAGGACAAATTTAAACTGTAAATATCTCAATCTGTGGGCAGACTCCTAGTGATAGCAATGTATTTAGATGCTTTTTAAAAATCATAGCCATGTCAAAAGAGAAGAGCCAAACAGAAGTAACATGAGGAACATTTAAAATCTATTCTGTTTGTGCAAGAGGTTGCTGCCATAGTTGGAAAAAGAGGCCTAAACTAATCATTTGTTCTGCTAAATAATACCATTTTCAGAAAAAGACACAGAAGGCATTTATGTGAAAAGTGAATTACAAAGCATCCTATATAGTAATGAATGCATAAATGTATGAGTGATTCTGAACATTTAACAACACATAAGTACAATCACAAGATAATTTGAAACTTTTCCCACTTCAATAAAACCAACACAAGAGTAATATGCTTGGTTAAATTGTACTTTATAAGTAATTTTAACATGTAATACATATTCTATCTCACTGTCTTGTAGAGAACAGAGAATATATGTGCTTCTAACAGGGGTTACATCTACGCATTCTACACACATTGCACTGAGGGTTCCTTGCCAACCCCACCTATGCTGCTACAGCCCCTGCTGCTCCCTGTCTGTGATGAAGTCACTTCCCAGGCCCCTGTCTCATGCTGAGGTTTTTGTAGGGCTCCTACAGGCCCCCTCTCACTGTGCTCTCTCTCCCAGCACAGAAATACACTGCTGAGTCCAGGAGCTGGGAGGCTGTGATGGTGAGCCTGATGGAGCTCGCTGCCTTCTGGAAATTTAGAGAATACCGGCCCTCAGTTGCATTGTGCTCACTGTAAGAGTCCTGACGAATAAGGAGAATCATTTCCCCACTCGGTGGTTGTTTGTACCAGAATAAGGAATAAGTAGGATCACTGGTTTCATACACACAGTCCATGCTCACAGCCTCCTTCTCCAGCACAGAAATTTCAGTCTGAGCTTGAACTATCTTCTGGCCCATGGTGGTTCCTGCAGGAAAAAAGGAAAGAAATAGATTGAGCCTTGATGTGTAACCATGGAAGTAGAAGGGACGAAGTGGCTTAGGACCAAGCACTCTGGCTCTATTGTCCATTTATTCCTCCCTTTTGAACCTCAGCAAATAAGGATCTCCTTGCCCCATTTTCTCCTCATTCAGAGATGAGAAAAGCCTGAGCCTTGTGCTTATAGACATACTTACCAACACCAAGACAGATGAGAGCAATGGCTGCCTCCAGCAGATTAGCGATCAGCATGGCAGTAGTTGAAATGTTCTATTGCACCTTAAACCCGGATGTTAATTTTGTACCTTGGTTTAAGGGGTACAAGCAAAGTTACTGGGCTGCATGCTGTGTCTGCCCCAAAAGGAAATGCAGTTAACAGATATGGGCCATGCTTCCTGTATAGGTGGGGGTGCTGAACTGTCTTAAGCACCAATTGTGTCTTGGTATAACGTACTGCTCTAGAAATAATCTGTGCTAAAATTGAATCCTTTTAGCTCATTCCACTTTGGTTCACAATTTATTATGACCATTAAAGAGTACATGGGAAAACACAGTCATGCACCTTTGGATTTACTTATGCCTCCTTTTCTCCATTCAGAACCAAGGTGAAAAGTAACCACACAGTTTTGACTCCCCAAAAAAAGGTAAAACTTTTAGTCACAGTCTTTGTTCCTACCATGCTAGTCATGTAACCCAAAACACTTACATGAAAAGTATTTTACTGTTTACAAATGATTTCACGTCATTCCCCTTGATTCAAAATTGTCAAGTGTATACCAGGTCAAGTAAAAGCAGGGAAGAAAAGAAATACATGTATGTGTACACATACTGTGTGTGCACGTATGTGTAAACAAAAATAAATTCAGAAAATTCTCCTCACTGCTCACGTACAGGAATTCATGTTGTAACTAAACCCCTATGTTTCTGAAAGTTCTGCTCCTTCAAAGTGCACAAAATAACTGTGGAAATTGGGCTTGGGAAAAGCCAAAATGCACAATTCATTACCAGAACATTATCAAAAACAATATTCTATTGAAAATACCAATAAAATTCAAGTTCCATTGGCAATTGTCCTTGGAACCATACCATGTAAGTAATACATTTGTGGTCTTAAAATAACAGAATTTGTATTTCACCCCTCTAAGTACCTAAATACACAAGAGATCATATGTGTATACTAAGACCAAGTTCACAAAAATTTTACATTATTTTTCTTCAACAATTATTTTAACACTAGAGATTCAGATATACTAACAATTTTTTTCTATAGCTTCCATCTTTTGAAACAGCTTTAGGTTCACAACAAAATTAAGCAAAAAAGGAGAAGGTTCAGAGATTTGCCATCTACTCCCCCCACCTACATGCATAGCCTCCCCATTATTAACATCAAGGACTAGAAGGATACAGGTATTATAGCCAATCAAGCTGTAGGAACTCATTGTCACCTACAGTTCATTGTGCACATAAGAGTTCACTGTTGAAGTCCTATGTTCTGCAGGTTTATACAAACGAATGATGACATGTATCTTTGATTATAGTATAAAGAATACTATTCTATACGGAATAGTTTTTTTGACCTGATGTTCTATTATTAAATAGTTGATGACTAGGCAAGTCTATGCCTATAAGGATGCAGTTTATGACATATGATTTATACCTTAATGAATTATTTAAAACTTATAAGAGTGAAAGTACTCATATGAATGAGAGGTGATGCGGCTTGATTGCTGTGGCAGAAAGGAGGATGGGGGCCAGAAGACATGCCAATATCAGGACAAACTGAGGCTATTATATCAGTCCAGCCTTAAAGAGGAAAGTGACCTTTGTCAGGTCAAAGACACAGATTGACCAGAAAGTACATCAAGCTTTTATTTCAGGGCCCCTTGCTATCTCATGTTCCAAACACTTTTATTTGTAATTTCATTTTATTTTTCTTAAAGAGAGCCCCAAATATCAGAGCCACATCAGGCCCTCCAGAACCTGCCTCTGCACCTGCCAAGCCCAGAGGCATTCCAGATGGAGAAAGGTCAAACAAGGCTCCCATAGTTCCAGAAGGTTAGGAAAGCTTTACCATATGACCAGATATCTGAGGGTTTCAATGAGAGCCCATGGTCCTCTCTTCATGCTTCTTTGGTTTGGAGAAATAGAGTACTTGATCCCTTTGGGATCCCAGTGAACAAGAGTCAAAAGGCATCCACTTCGATCTTTAAACAGACACCTGAGACCTTCATTGGACACTGAATTTGACCCTGTGCAGGAGGATCCTGAGGATAAGTGAAATCATAAGAAAACATGACATGTACCACAGTTATTGTCACATCCAAAATGCAGTTCTTCTTGGAGAAAATATTCTCAAGTCTAGAACTGGGTCATTCCTTGGCAGGAGGGTAAATTGCTGCCAGGCTGAGAGCAAGGTCAGAGTGAGAGGTGTGAGCACAGAGTGAAGTATGGCATCACGGCACTGGCTGTACCGCTGGACTGCTCTGAAACCACTGTGCCTGGACAGGAGGCTGATCCCCAAAGAACTCAGTCTGGCATCTGCATTTCTATAGAAACCCTGTAAGAAGGGGAGATCGAGATCGAGGAAAAAACAAAGTCCCCATTTACTGAAGGTGAGGTTTCTGCTGTTAAAAGCAGCAAGACACACAACCCTGTTTCCAACTGTAAAAGCAGAGAAATAGACTCAAGACTATTTTCCCTGGACATATTTTAAAATAATTAAAGTGAAATAGTTCAGTGTAGATGAACTGAATGGTCTTGTAACAGTTAATGAAATGCCTCAAGATTTTGGGCTACCTGCAGGAGAGAAGACACACTGGGCTGAAAAAAGACCTGTCTGGAAAAAGTCAAGTGCCTTAAAATTGCTATGAAGGGTGACCCCTTAGGGTCATAGGAAGAACAATTCCTTAAATAAACCTAAGTAAAAATGGCACTGAATTGAGAGAAAGGCACAGACAGAAATAGATGGAGTGTCTCAGGGATGGGTTAGAGCAGTGACAAGAATGAAGCCATGATTAGTATTAGATGTGCTTCATATCACATTTGGAAGTGTGTGTCTATCTTAAGAGCCAATGAGGATCCTTGTGATTGGCCCGGTTGACTTCGCACTCTGACAAAGTCACTGTCACTGCGGCACAAAGGATGAGTACAGAGTGTGGGCTGTCAGGTGTGCAAAAGGCAAAAGATTGGAATGGTTTTTCAATTACAGTGTGGAGGTGAAGTAGGCTGTAGAGGTTGGGGTAACATCTAGATAACCTTTAGGAGCTAAATTCAACAGACATGAAAAGAGAATAAATATAGTAAGTTTTTAAAATGCAAGCTGCCTATTCAATCTCTATTCTATCCTATTTCTTATCGATAATGACCTAATTTGGATGTGGGTGGCAAAGCAGTTAAATAGAAATAACGCTGGCATCTCCTATCTGTCAGAGAGGAGAGTGCTGAGGACATCGGGTGACACTCTGGTAAATGAAAGCTGTTGGGTGGAGTTTGGGAAATTATTGACTCAGACAGCAGCTGCTCATTGCACTGTGACTTCTTCTTTCTAGATGAAACGTGTATAATGTGAAAGAATCATTGGCAGAGGCATCTTAAGGATGAGAAACATTGAGATCAAGAAATCCTGGTTCTCTGACAACATGATGAGGCTACCTATTTATCAGCCCTATGTATTACAATTCTTGACATGACAGGAAATAAAACTCCTCCTTGGTAAAAACATTGTGTGGATTTTCTGTAGTGTGAAACAAAATCCATCTCTAATGGTTGCAAATGATGTTCATTAATAAATGGAAACTCTTCACTTCATCAGAGACTGTTTGAGGAAGCCAGGACTCAACCAAGTAACCCAGATCTTCAGTATCATGCTAGATGACCATGCAAGAGGTGATGTTGGTAGGTCAAGATGTGGCATTTGGGAACCACTACTCCAAACCATGTTTCCCCTGGCCTCCTCCATTTTTTTCATCAAATGTGTGCATAAATACAAATGCCCTGATTTTCTCTACAAACATATTTTCAATAGTATCAAAACTGAGTGAAGAAAACTATAATCAGCATTTATTTATCTGGTAGAAGTAATAATAAATAGATGAGGAACTGTGTGATACTAGAAGTACCTGCTTTCAAAGCAAGCATTCAGGGCCTGGTTATTGAGAATGTGCATCCTTCGCCTGAATGATGAAAAATTATGGCTTTCTCATAAGTTTCTATTTTACTCATAGAGAAACTGAGATTTGCAAATCACACAACTCAAATTGCAGAATCAGATTTGGATATTTGTCTCTATTTCTCCAAGATTCAGATCTTTTCCTCTCTTAGTACACAATGGCACTGCTCCTGGGTTGTGAAATGAAATGTTTGGTAGAAAATGTGCTCAGATGCTCTCTAAATCCAATGCCTGATAAGCCCTCTGTTTCCTGGTACTAGAGGAATGCAAGACTCTTCTGAGCAACTCAAAGACCTACCTAGGTGTTGAAGGTGCACATAGACCAAAGGAGACCTTCCAATACTGAGTAGCATTTCCTCATCCTCCACAAGTGCCCAGGGTTTACTTTTTCCTGATAGAATTAGAGCATGAAAATCTTTAGGCTCAATGATACAAATCCTTCATTTTCAGTGAGGAAATCAAAGGCCACTATCATGACAATGAGACAGAGGATGTGCACCCAGGATGGCAGAACTCAACCTAGAATTTTGGTTTCCAATTCCACGTTCCATGCCTTTTGACCTAGTCCAAGATATTTCCCCAAAAAAACACAAAGTTGAAAGGGCTCCCCTTTTTCCTTGCCAGTAGATGCTCCTTCATGAGAAGAAACCACCACCTTCACCCACCTTCAGGGCTTCCAGGAAGCAGTCCTGGCAGAGTTTGAGTGTGGCTGCGAGCTGCGGGTGCCTGCTGCACATCGTGCATCTGTAGCACAGAAGTAAGCAGCAGTGTCCGCAGCCCGGGCAGCAGTGATGGACAAGGAGCTTCTTTTGGTGGAGGTTTCAAGGGTGGCTCTTAGTCTTCCACTGTGTTTCTCTTTCTCATTTGATCTCATCAAAATTAGCAGGACAGGACCTCCACTTGCATCCTGTCTATACCACTCCAGGTTCATTATAGAAGATTTATAACTGCAGTTCATGGTGGCATTTTCACCCTCCTGGATGTTCAGGGCCTGAGGAACCTCTCCTCGTTGGTTGTTCACCCCTAGGCAGAAACATAGCCAGAGATGGAGTCCATCACTGCATTTCCAGATTACATTTCCAAACTAGCAGGAGACTTTACCTCTCAGTCATGTGGGCTCTGAACTTTGGCATCACTTTTATCATCGCCAGAAACCCCCATCCCCACCCCACCCCCACTCACTGACTAGTAGAAGCCACAAGGTCACCAAGGACACTTCCAGGAGTTTCTCCATTCTCCTTTCTCTTGGAATAGTAGGAAACTCAGCTCTGGGGAATGAAATGAAGCCAGGATTCTCAACTAGAAGAGTTAGATCCCATTACTGACTATATTCCTTTTTGCTCCCCTAGAGTCTCAGTTTCTTAATCAGCCAGTCAGAGGCAAGCTAAGTCCTTTGCTTGGAACACGCACGCACGCACGCACGCACGCATGCACGCACGGACAGGCACTGACACGCACGGACAAACACTGACATGTGGAGGGAGACACTGCCATCTGGTGGTGGCAAGACCATCCTGCTAATAGAATGTACTCTGGAATGGGAAAAAGAGCAGAACTAAAGCAGAAGAGATTAGACAGCTATTCCGTTCTGTGTCTTTATAGAGCTTTGGTTTTGACTTAGAGTAAGAACATATATAGTTTAATTCAGGTAAAAGCTCAATGAAGAAAGAATTGCTACAACCCCTGAAAACATATCTACACGGAGGTCATCTATCATGTTGGACTAGAGACAGCAGCAAAGAAGCCACTCTAAGTCATTCACCCAGGTGCTCCTGCAGCTGCCGGGGGTGGTAAGGAGACCAACCACCAGAATAAAGCTTGAAAAAGAGATCAGGTAAAATCAAAACATAGGGGTGGCTGGAAGAGGAGTAAACAGCCTGTGGAAGCCAGCACTGCTCACAGCACAGGACTGGAAAGTGCATCATTAAGTGAAAAGTGTGAAATTCTGCAAGGGAAGAAACCAATGTGAACAGCTGCTGCTTGGCTCCCAGCATAGAGCATAGACACTACCACTCTAGGTACCAGTCTGTCTCAGCAGTCCTCCTTCCCTGATAGGATGTGAGGCCTAGAGACTAAAATATTCATCTGGGAAAGCCTCTCAGGGCCTGAGATAGCAGAGACAGTAAGACAAAGACTCATAGGGTTGGGGCAAGAATCTCTAAGTGTTAAGGGTGCAGAGAGACAGAGGGGACTGCCAGAGCTGGGTAGAATTCAGACCCAGAGAGTTCTGGTTGAGCTGGAAACACCAGATGTTGAGGCAGAGAGAGACAGGAAGTACAGCCCCAGGTAATGAGCAAACTGGACTTAGACTCCTGGATGGGGGTTGGGGGGTGCAGCAGATCTAAAAGTTGCAAGTGCTGAGACAAGCAAGACTGATCAGATGATCCTGCCTCAGGCTCGTGCCTCCTCAGCAAAAGGCATGATGGGAACCAAAATGCAGAGAGAGGCTGAGAAGGCTGTGGCAGCTGGAATCCTCGGGCTTCAGAGGCAGAGAAAAGGGGCAGCTCAATGGGAGCTTGGGCTGTGTCCTTCCTGACCCCGGATGCCACTGGGGTCACAGGCCAAAGAGAGTCTGTGCTAGTGACAATACAGATGGGAGACAGAAGGAGGACTGGACAGTGTTACCACAAAGAGCAGCTCGAGAGCCTGAGGCTGGGACCAGCTGGAGGAGCTGTAGAGGGCCCCACACACCACTGACCCAAGAAAACTAGAGGCTCTTGAACATGGTGCTCTGAATTCAGGAACATTGCTAAACCACCCTGATACGTTCATCCTAATCAACTCAACAGTATAATTGTCCCCTTCTTTTCTTTTCTTGAATATATATATATATATATATATATATTCAGAAGATAATATAAAATCAGGATTGAATATATATATATATATATAAGAAGAAGATAATGGGCCAGGGATTTAGCTCAGTGGTTTCACTGCCTGCTGTGCAAGCGCAAGGACCGAAGTTCGATCCCAAGGACCAAAAAAAAAGGAAGATAATATAAAATCAGGATTGATCTAAACACAATGGTTTGCTTTTTTTAGGCTATTATATTTTATTAAACTTCCTATCTTTTCTTGGGATATTGTATTACTCTCCCTGTATTTTACTGTAATATGGGTACTGAAGACCCTTGACTTTTGAACTCAATTCATTCCCGAGGGCTGGTTATAACTCAATTTGGTCAATTGAAGGCACAGGCTCCTCTACACAGCATTCAAAGTCTCTCTCCTATATACAGGCAGACCTCAGCATGCTTATAGAGACATTGGCCCAGGATTTCTCAATTAACCCCACACAAGAAAGGATGTTGTAATGCTCCTTCCAGAACTCTTTAAGGGTTAAATCTGTATCTGAGACCATCTGGAAGCATGAGTGGCCAGCATTCGGGTTGTAAGTCAAGACTTAGTCATAAGTTAAAACTAAAATTCCAGTCTTAATCCAGTCTTGTATGTCAGTCTGGTTGTAACTTGAGGCACCACTGTAATAGAGATCTCTTTAAACAAGTTCTTAATAACCTGATACTACATATAATTAGCTTCTCAATAGTTGATGTTACAGGTAGATTGTCTTTCCTCTTAAAACAGTGTTGGCAGCTGAACCTAGTATTCAGAACAGACTAGGAGGAAACACTCACATGAAGACATACCCACAACCCTGGACCCATCAAAAGCAGCAAGCCATTCACCAGAAAGATCCCCACATGACTGTGGAAGAGATAGTCTTCATATCTGAATGGAGGCCTCAAAGAAAATCACAACTAAAATGAGAAAACAAGGCAATGAGATGCCTCTAAAAACTTTCAACTTCCCAAAAGCTGATCCCACTGATAAGGAAGTGGTTAAAATTGCATAGAAAGAATTTAAAGCAAAATTGATAATAAAAACAATTAATGAGATCAAACAAAAGACAAATAAGCTGCTGAATCAATTACTAAAATGATCAGTGAATTTCACAAAGGTACAAATAAGCAGTTGAATGAATTAAGGAAGACAATGTAGGATGTGTAAGGTGGTAGAGGTTATGAAGAAGAATCAAGCAAAAATCCTAGAAATGAAAATCTCAATAAATCCAATTTTTTAAAAAAAATTTAATTGAAAATCTCAGCAGTAAACAAGATATAAAGGATATCAAGGCTTAAAGGCAAGTTGGACATACTAGACCATTCAGTGAACAATAATGAAAAAAAGGACAAGAAATAATCAAAAGATTATCTAAGAGCTTATAGACAACTTAAAGAACAAACTTCATAACCATTGGCTTCAAGGACAGTGATGAGGTACAGACTAATTAGTAAGTCTAATTACTTAAATTAATGAAGAAAATTTCCCAAATCTGACAAGATGGATAGCCAGGTAAAGGAGGCATTTACAGCACAAAATAGACAAGACCAGAAAAACTCCACAACTCATTGTAATCAAAATGCCAAAGCTTAGAAGAAAGAATATTAAAAGCTGTTAGAGGCCAGCAACGGCCCCACCAGACCCAGAACCCACCATACCACGCCACTGGTCACGGTATCTGAATCTGCACAGCAGAGGCACTGCACAGGAGAGCCATAAAGGCCATGGTTATGAGCCCAGAAGATAGAGCAGAAGTGAACAACAGAGAGGGCCTCTCTGAGGCTCCTCAATGAAAACTGAAGCCCACTGGGAAAGTGAAGAAAATCTCTTCAATAAAGGTACACTGGACCATCGTGGTTGGTAAGCTGGGGGGATCAGCACCTCCCAGAGAAACCCAGACTCACTTAGAGGGGAAGACAGCTGGAACCTGCAGTAGAACATTGCAGAGTTTAATCCTGCAGGACGTCAGGGACCTCAACTTGAGCCTTGCAGCTGGAAATCAGCCTGAATCTCAATACACTACAGCAGGCTTGCTGAGACTAATTGTCTTAGACCTGCACACTGCTACCCACATTGTCTACCAGGACAGCAAAGACATTATCCTGAGGGAGACTTCTTTTTAAATTTATATTTTTTTCTTTTTTCTTTTCTTTCTCTCCCCCCGCCCCTTCTGGCTCTGCATTTCTCTCCCTGTGTTCCTGTTCCTGTCCTATTTTGAATTGTTTCTCTCTCTGTACTCTCAATTGTCACTATTATAGGAAGGTGAATACAATTTCTATTCACCTATTCCATTTTCCTATTGTTGTCAGTTTCTTCTGAACTTGTCTCTGTTCTTTCCCTCCGTCTTTCCTCCTGTATTCCACAGATTCCCACAACTTGTGTCATCCTCTTGTATCCTCAAGCCTCACCTCTAATCTTTCCCTCTCCTATCTCTCTATCCCTCTGTCCCCAACCCCTTCTAAATCCTTATCCCAAAGGGTAAATTCACCATATTAAAGGGTTTATTAGCTACAAACATATTTTGGGATGACCTTAGACCTTGATCTAGCTCCCAAAGTTAAAGGTGATTAACACATTAACTGCTGCCACAAATTGTCATTTTCTAAGCTGTGTTTAAAGGTATTTTGATGCTGATTGTGACAATTGGGCTAAGATGTCATGATTGATCTAATCAGTTGTTCCCCCTGATATACTGAAAACAAGATTGCCTAAAACTCATTGAAGACTCAAAACCTAAAAAGTCCAGATATACCTGGAAAATATCTCTAAGAAGCAATCACTCCATAAGGGCTCTAAATACAAGTAATAAAGATACTCACAATAAAAAATATTGAAGTATCAGCCCTTGAAGAAAAGCAAAAAACAACACCAACAACAAAATTAAAAATGAGAAGACACCTTAGAGAGACACAAACCTAGACTTCCAGCTCACCAAGGACAAATTCTGAGGGAAATGAGGTGGAAAAATCTGATAATCAACCGCCTGAACAACATGAACTGATACCACAGGAAGTGACAAAACAGATGAATGAGGCTCTAGAAAAATCCAAAAAAAAAAAATAGTTTCCCAGATAACTAGAGAGATGGTGAACAGAATGAAAGACTTGATTAGAGACTCTAGAACAGAAAGAGATAAAAAAGTAGAAGAGTGCAGGACCATGCCGGAAGCCATGAATGCCCAGCATAGAAAAGAAATAGAAAGGATGAATGCCCAACATAGGAAAGAAATGGAATCCATGAAACAGATGCAAACAGATATCCAGGAGATTGAAAACTCCATTGAAAGTATTCACAGCAGATTGAGCGAATGTGAAGATAGAACATCAGATATAGAAGACAGGATTGTGGTTAGTGACCAAGAAAAGAGAGATTTCTTAAAAATACTAAGGAACCATGAGAAATCAATCCAGCAGCTGCTAGATGATACAAAGAAGAATAACATAAGACTGATAGGAGTCCATGAAAAAACAGGAGAAAGTACAATTGACATAAAAAAACCTGTTCACAGAAGTAATAGTAGAAAACTTCCC